CTCTCCCTCTCCCTCTCCCTCTCCCTCTCCCTCTCCCTCTCCCTCTCCCTCTCCCTCTCCCTCTCCCTCTCCCTCTCCCTCTCCCTCTCCCTCTCCCTCTCCCTCTCCCTCTCCCTCTCCCTCTCCCTCTCCCTCTCCCTCTCCCTCTCCCTCTCCCTCTCCCTCTCCCTCTCCCTCTCCCTCTCCCTCTCCCTCTCCCTCTCCCTCTCCCTCTCCCTCTCCCTCTCCCTCTCCCTCTCCCTCTCCCTCTCCCTCTCCCTCTCCCTCTCCCTCTCCCTCTCCCTCTCCCTCTCCCTCTCCCTCTCCCTCTCCCTCTCCCTCTCCCTCTCCCTCTCCCTCTCCCTCTCCCTCTCCCTCTCCCTCTCCCTCTCCCTCTCCCTCTCCCTCTCCCTCTCCCTCTCCCTCTCCCTCTCCCTCTCCCTCTCCCTCTCCCTCTCCCTCTCCCTCTCCCTCTCCCTCTCCCTCTCCCTCTCCCTCTCCCTCTCCCTCTCCCTCTCCCTCTCCCTCTCCCTCTCCCTCTCCCTCTCCCTCTCCCTCTCCCTCTCCCTCTCCCTCTCCCTCTCCCTCTCCCTCTCCCTCTCCCTCTCCCTCTCCCTCTCCCTCTCCCTCTCCCTCTCCCTCTCCCTCTCCCTCTCCCTCTCCCTCTCCCTCTCCCTCTCCCTCTCCCTCTCCCTCTCCCTCTCCCTCTCCCTCTCCCTCTCCCTCTCCCTCTCCCTCTCCCTCTCCCTCTCCCTCTCCCTCTCCCTCTCCCTCTCCCTCTCCCTCTCCCTCTCCCTCTCCCTCTCCCTCTCCCTCTCCCTCTCCCTCTCCCTCTCCCTCTCCTCTCCATCTCCTCAACAGATCCAGCCCCGGGGCACTTGACTCACCGCCCTCCCACAACACCCCTCATGGGCGAGGGGAGGAAATGACTGAGGGGTGAGAAAGAAGCCAAACCCGCTCCTTATTACACCGAACGCGGCTCTCCTGGGACAGCTAATGCACCCCGGGGAATTCAGGTTGTTGCAACGCTGCTGTGTCGGCAAGATCAACTGCAGGCAGGTGCTGCCTGCGCCACTGATGGAGGTTAAAAATTGGGGTGTCTGGAGGTCAGTTGTCACCTCCGAGGTGGAGGTGCCCAAGGAGTGACCCCCTCCTTGGCTGGGAAGAGATGAGGGGAAGAGCTCAACGTCTCCAACATCCTCCAGCAGCAAAATAGGTTGAGGAAGTTCCTTCCGCTCGCCCCAGTTCTGCTCTCCAGACCAGGATGGGAGAACAGCAGGATTTAAACCCACCTCCAGGATGGTGAGTTAGGTCTGGATTATTCTCCTGATGAGGTCTTGAGTGGAGGCTCATGAGCAGCAGGGGAGGGATGTGGATGGAGATCGGCTCAGGGACAATTCCAATGCCTCTTGGAAAACAAGAAGGTCCAGAAGCAGCGTGAAGGTGCCCTTGGAGGCAGGACGGGCGCTGAACTCTTCCAGTCTGGTCCCTCCCATGCCTTTGGGTGTACTGGTCAGTGTGTATGACAGGACGGGGAAGCAGTGGGAGCTAGGTCCTCCCCCCCCAGGCAGTGGTAGCACGAAAAACTGTCTCTCCTGCTGGATACACCACCTGGGATGCGCTGGACTGAGCCTGGGCTGGCCCTGCTGCGGGCAGGGAAGAGGCTGGTGGCCACAGCAGGCATGGGCTGAGCTCCCCCTCGGCCTTACCCGGGGCCGTGGAGGCTCCCTGGAGAAGAGCAGCCGCACGCAGGGTGGGGATGGACCAGCTCTGGGCTTGCCCCAGGAGTGAGACCGCACCGGGATAACCCACAAAACCAACTCCCTGAGCAGCCTTGATGCTGTGGTTACGGCTCAGGGTTTTCTTGTGCTGCTGGAGGACCTGGAGGCTTCAACAGAGGCTGGCGTGTGCTGGAAGAGGGGCACAGCGGCACAGAGGAAGGACGGGTCGTTACCTCCAATTCACCAGGGAGCAGAAAGTTGCCCCCACTTAGCACCAGTTCCATGGGAGCATGTGGCACTGGTCACCAGCTCGCATTGCTGATGGACCTTCTGGGCTCTGGGTGGGCAAAGATCTGTCACTGAGAAGCTTTCCCCGTGCTCCTCAGTCACCCCTGCGGGTCACACGTGCGAGGAGTGCAGCAATACTGGATTTACCGGCTCTCCTGCCACTCCGGGCAGCCTATAATTAAGCCATACACATAATGAGTCTTGGCAAGGTTTGGGTGCAGCCTGCCCGTGAACTCCTTGGTGGCATCACGCTCCTCCCTCCCTTCCGCACTCCCAGAGGACCCACATATAGCAGGGAGTGCCAGGGAGCACCGTCATTCCCAACCTGCTCTCTGGGACGCTCCGAAAGGCTCAGCCTGCCCTCGACGGGACGATGAAGACCTGGATCCTCCTCGTTGGGGCAGGAATAGCCCTGACCTGTGTCTGTGGCAGTGAGTAATGGAGCCTGGCGGTGCATCCCATGGGAAGGGGCCAGCGATGGGTTGGGTGACAGCGGACGGTGTTGAGGGTGCTGCCATAAGCCAGGAGATCCACTGTACTGGGGCAGCTGGTTCCTTGCGTGTCTGGATCCAGAAAATCTTCACAGGGGAGAGGGTCAGGGTGTTTTCACGCTGGAGGGCTTCCTCGAGCTCGGGGGGACTCGGCTGAGGAGGAGGATGGTTCATCCTTCTCTTCGATGGGTTGAGACTTCCCCTGGTCTTTGGCTTTGTCCACCGGTTGCTTCCTGGTGCATCTCGCCGTGTTTTCATGGTGCCAGCCCACCTGGCTCCTCCACCCTCCCGCGCTGGAGGAGGACAAAGGGAAATATTTTTCTAATATCTTGTCTACAGTCCCTCCGTGACCACCGGAACTGAGCAGAGGAGCCAGCCAGGTGCGGTGGAAAACGCAACATGAGCTCAGGTGTTTCTCCCTTCATGACTCTGTGGTTGTTATGAGAGGGGTCGGGCTTGGAGAGATGATAAAGAATAGCTCCGGCTTTTAGGGAGATGCTGCAACAAGGAGTGGCTTGTGGGCATCAGGGTTTGGCTCCCAAATCTCCCTGGATCCAGCCTGTGACTCGGTGCCTTTGTTGCCATCATCTTGCACAAAACGTGAAAACCGTGATCTATTTGCAAGAAGGACGTTTCGTCTCTCCCGGCACTGCCAGGGGGCCGTATCTGGTGTTTTAGCAACAAACGACTCCCCTCAGGATTAGCGGGGAGGCATTTTGCAAGGCCGGTGCAGAGGAGGAGCAGCTTGTGCTGCGAACCAGCCGTTGGGTTGCCTGGAAAACAGGATTTCCCGTGATGGTCTCATCTTCTTCAACGCAAGCGCTAAATTCTTCTTGCTTGAAGGAATAACTGGGCTGATCGTGTCTGGGAAGCTGGGAAGCTCCTCTGGCTCGTGGCGTGGTCTGTCCTTGGCACGCGCTTCGGAGCTATCGGAGCGTCACCCTGACGGACCTGTCCGAGCTGCGAAACCTCCACCGCGTAGTAACTTTGCTTATCCTCAGCTAGGCAGGACAGTGGTGGGAGATTTTTGCCTGATTATCTCACGAACAGCTTGCACCCGGGGTTATATGTGGTTTCAGGAGCCAGGAGCATTGTAACTAAATATTTGGAGAGCTCAGGCCGTCAATAGTTCTTTTGTTAGAGGTTAATTTGTCCTTCAGATGGGCCCTTCTGGAGGCGGGGTTGATCTTCGGTCCGTGTTTGCACAGCGCAGCGAGGTCTCGAGTCAGGCCAGGGCCTCGCGGACGCTGCTCTGACACGAGCCCTAACTCCTGTCCGTGCACTAAAGCGAGCTGGGAGGGCTCTGTCGCGTCTCGGGCATTTCCCCACACCTTGGTGAAGGGAGCTGCTCAGGAAACAGACCGCCTTTTTATCCGTCAAAACTTTTTTTTTTTGGCAGAAATGAAAATGAGTTTGTTCGTGTCCAAAAAGCCGTGCTCAGGGAGGGGTGGATCTGGCTGAAGGGCTGAAAATGAAAAAGAAATATTTGTCTGGCTTTGTGCAGCCGGAAAGCATCTACTGGTTGAAGCAGCCAAATACCGACGGAGTCGCTGAGTGTGGGCGCGCTGAGCTGAGCACCGCCGGCCGTGTCCTGCTGCTCCCACCACCGTCCCAGCTCTCCCAGCAGCCCTTCTCTCCCCAAAAGCTCCAGCAGCCCCTCTAAACTTGACCATGGGGTGTCCGACGGCTCTGCGGCTCCTTAGGTTCATGCCCCCGTGAGGATGAGGAGCTGACTCCCTCCTGCAGCCGTTCCCCCTGCCCAGGGAGGACCCTCGGCACCCCGCAGCCGAGCCCCGCGGGGGACGGGGCCCCATCCGAGCTCACTCCTCCAAGGACCCTTCGAGGCTCCCGGCCCTGGTTGAGTCACTGAACACCCCAGTACCGGTGCTTTGCTGTGACACGCTCTGGCGGCACGTGCCCAGGGACTGGCAACGTCTCAGCGGTGACTGGTGGGAGGGCAGTTCCTGCCTTGCACAATCCCTCCGGGAAGGCTGCTGGGAAACGAGCCCCAGTGTGTGATTCAGGCTGATCTACCCCGACTGTCACTTGGGGAGCAGCAGGGATTCTGTCCTGAGGAGCGAGACCTCAGCTGACAACCCCACCGGAGCTCCAGACCTGGCTGCTCTGCCGTGTGGACTGGTGAGACTGGGGCGTCCGGACACCACGAGCATCACTCACCGCCCAAACTCTGGGTGCCCTTTCCCGTCTCTCCCTGCATCAGCGTGAGCAAAGGTGGGACTAAAGCAGCACCGAGGGCCGATGGCCTCCAGGAGCACCTCAGGCAACTCTTTCCCACTAACACCCCTCTCGCTGCAAAGCAGATTTGTGGAGAAGGACCCGGCGAGGAGAAGCCAAAGAGGAGTCAGCAGTGTGGCCTTGTAGCTCGGTCAACCAGCCTGCGCCGGGTTGGCTGGTGGGGTGAAGAGGTTCTTCCTCTCTCATCAGCCCGTGCGGGACCTTGGTTATGTGATTCTGAAAAGCGCAAATAGTTTGGGTGAGATGCCAGACAACACAACAAGAAATGCGGGTGCAGAGAGAAGCCGGCACGCGTGACTCTTGGAGGTCACTCTCATCACTGCTCCATCGGGATTCGCCCCAAGGGCTGGAGTGCTGCTGGAGCTCAGGGTTGGCCACCCAGAGGTGTTTAAGTTGTTGCGTGATTGCAGGTTTGCGAGGGAAAGCAACACCCTTTCCTCCAGCGATCCCTTTACTGGCTGGCAGCGTGGCTGGCACGCGACTTGCACGCGACTTCTCAGGCACGTCCTTGGAGATGGTCACAGTCCTGGCTGGAGAAAAGGGGGTGCTGGAAAAGCCCTGCCCGGGCTGCCAGCTGTCCCGCTCCTCCCGCCAGGATCCGACCAGCACATTCCCAAAGCTGTCGCTTAGTACAAACCCAACATCTTGGTCTCCTACCCCCACTTCTTGGCTTGATGGCAGGTGTCCATCATCCAAGACCTGGCACTTGTCCTGTTCAAGGCACAGCTTAAGTCGCTGCGTTATTTTTAGCTTTGCCGCCGTGTGTAACACAGCATTTATGGTATAAATAGCTCGGGAAGGAGTTCCCAGTTTTCCCAGCATTGCAGAAAGGGCGATGGGGTTGCAAATAAGGGTGTCTGGAATGTGGCACTTCACCTCCAGCCAGGAGACGGCAGGACCTGGGGCGCTCCTGCTCGGGCAGGCGTTAAAAGGGTGAATCAGAAGGAGCAATTAAATGGTGGGGAGATGAGAACGCGTTTCCTGGTGGGAAGTGGCCTTGACGTGGTGAAATTCAAATGGCTGAAGAGAAGTGACCCACGGAGATGTGCATCCTGAGGATTCAACCGGTTAAAATGTCACCCCGAAATGCTGACAGAGGATCCCGAATAGCTGCAGGGTCCAAGCTTGGTCCTTCGGGCTCTCCTGGGAGGAGGAAGGACGCTCCCAGGTCACGGGCGGGCTGGGGAGGGGTGCTCGGTCCATCCTGAGGCCCACGCTGCTGTTTCTCTCTCCCACAGACCTGTACACGGCCCCCGACTCCTGCGAGGGACGCTGCGAGGAGCCCTACAGCGAGGAGGACGAGTGCCACTGCGATGCCGAGTGCGAGACGTACGGCAACTGCTGCGAGGATTACTACAGGCACTGCCAACCCGGTGAGCACTGAGCATCCCCGGGGGGGCTTGTTGGGGGGGGGCCTGCTGTCTCCCTGAGGCTGTCACAACCCAGCCGTGGGGTGCAAAGGGGTTGGCTGCAAGCATGTCTGCAAGCATGTGTATGTGGGGGGGGGGGTGTCCTGGACTCCCGTCTCCATCACCCTGAGCTCCTTTTCCCTTTGGCTCCGTGCAGGTGGAGAATGGGTTGAGGAGGCCGCTCGCACCCGCAGTGAGTAGCTCCGCTTCTGAGCAAGGGTGACAAACCACCGCCACCGCCCGCGGCTCTCGGGGGCCGACGGCATCGGGGTGTCGCTCTGGTTTCTGGCCCTTTCCGTGCCCGTTGCCAGCTGCTCCAAGCCGCTGCGTGTCGTTGCTGAGCAGACGGCGCAGCGGGAGCCCCGGCATCACCCGCCTGTTTACCAGCAGCTTTATCTCCCGTCACCAGAGCCAGGGGAAGCAGGAGGCATGGAGCAGCCGGAGGCGGGGGCGAGCTGGCCTTTGCATCCCCTGGTCACCCTGCACCTAAAATTTGGGGGATCGGGAGGGGGCTGGTCCCAGCAGACGTGGTGCAAAGAGCAGCGTCGTGCCTGGGAGACGGGGGCTGATGCTTCCCAGCTCACCCAGTGCTTAACGAAAGGCTCCCGTGCCTGCAGCCCTGGGGCCAGCTCTTGTCCCCAGAGTGTGGGGTTGGAGTGGGTTGGGGCCCCCCCCTGCACCCTTTATCCCTCCGTGCTGAGCACCCAGGATCGTGACACCCATGTGTCACCCCAGCATCGGGTGCTGCATCGCCCTCGCTTCTCCGTGGGCAGCTGATCTGCGGCCCCGGGAGCTGCTGCCTGCGCCTGCCACCTCCTGCCTCTCCCCACAGACGGTTTCTCCAGCAGCCACGACGCCATCACCGACGAGGATCTCCTCCGCGTCTCGGAACAGCTTTACAGGGCGGATCACAACAAAGCCCGCCCGAGCGACATCGCCATTAACCCCCAGTACCAGGCGTCCCCCGATGAGACAGGCGACCAGGAGGACCGCTCCCCGCAGCCGTGAGTGTGGGCCGGCATCCTCGGCAGTGGCCAGGGGCCACCACAGCAGAGGCCAGCCAGGGCCCTTTGCTTCCCCGCTGAGTGGAGGATCCGCGCTCTCCTAGGCTCTACAAATACGTCAACGAGGCGCTTTTCTCCAAACCCACCTACGCAAGCTTCATTAAACTGCTGGACAACTACCAGAGGGCAACTGGCAGGGAGGAGGAGGTGACGGCGGAGGAGCTGAGGGAGCAGGACAACTTCCTCAAGGAGGTGATGAAAACCGAGCTCATGAAGAAACTCTTTGCCTTCCTCCACCAAAAAAGTGAGTGTGGAGCGGGGCAGGGCTGACCAGGGGGTCCCTGGGCATTGGGTATCCCAAAGGAAAGCCCCAGCTGGGTGGGACATGACCCGGGAGGAGGCACTGGAGGAGCTGCCAGGACGTGGGAGAATGGAGCAGGGCAAAGCTGAATTGTTCCCAAGGGAGGGGATTGGGCCAGGGGTGGGGGGAGCCCCCGCTCTGCCTCTCCCTGTGCTCCCACACCGGGACACGGCCCCCTCCTCTCCACGCCGCCTTGCCTGCAGACCGCTACAGCTCCGAGCAGGAGTTTGTCGCCGATTTGAAGGAGATGTGGTTCGGCCTCTACTCCAGAGGTGACAGTGAGCAGGACTCCAGCGGCTTCGAGCACGTCTTCTCAGGTAGAGCCCTCACCGGTGGGATGGGGGGGGGGACCGGGCAGCACCTGGCTGGGGGGGGCTCACCCCAGTGTCTCCCTTGTGTTTAGGGGAGGTGAAAAAAGGGAAAGTGTCTGGATTTCACAACTGGATTCGCTTCTACCTCCTTGAGAAGCAGGGCATGGTCAACTACTTCAGCCACAACTTTGACGGGCCAGTAAGTGATCCCAAATCAGCCGCATCCCAAAGATGCTCCTCACCCTGCCACGTCCCTCCTGCCTCCCGGTGCAGACCTTGGCATGGAGGCAGGGTGGGGAGGTCCCCAAAAGGGGCAAAAAGGGGCTCAATAACCACAAATGAGAAATTTGAGGCTCTGTCTGGTGGCCCCTCAGACCAGGTGAAAGCTGCTCTGGCTCTGGCCCTGGGGAGGGCAGGAGGGTGCCCGGCTTCGTGTGCAGACAGGCTTTGCTTGAATTCCCTCCCTGCTGCACCCGGGGCCGAGCGGAGACGGGGCTCTGACCCCCGACCCCCCTTTCTCTAGTGGGACACCTACCCCGACGTGCTGGGGCTGCAGTTCAGCTGGGACGGCTTCTACAAGGAGGTGGGCTCTGCCTTCATCGGCTGCAGCCCCGAGTTTGAGCTTGGCCTGTACACCTTGTGCTTCATCGCACGGCCTGGGAGGGCGTAAGTACCGCGTCCGTCTGCATCTGTCTGTCCGTCTGTCCTCCAGCTGTGGAGCCAGCTGTGCCCTCCTGACCACGATCAGCTCTGGGGCATCGCGGATGGGGAGGGCTGGGGATGGAGCAGGGCTGGTGTGGGGACACTGAGCACCCCAGAGATGTGACCGTGGGGCTCAGGGGGGAGCAGGGCTGTGACACAGGCTGTGTCCCCACAGATGTTACCTGAGCCTGGGTGGCTACAGCCTCAGCATCCAGACCTACCCCTGGACCAAGTCCACCTACGGCAACGGCAAGAAGTACATCGCCACGGCCTACGTGATCTCACCCTGAGCTCCTTTTCCCTTTGGCTCCGTGCAGGTGGAGAATGGGTTGAGGAGGCCGCTCGCACCCGCAGTGAGTAGCTCCGCTTCTGAGCAAGGGTGACAAACCACCGCCACCGCCCGCGGCTCTCGGGGGCCGACGGCATCGGGGTGTCGCTCTGGTTTCTGGCCCTTTCCGTGCCCGTTGCCAGCTGCTCCAAGCCGCTGCGTGTCGTTGCTGAGCAGACGGCGCAGCGGGAGCCCCGGCATCACCCGCCTGTTTACCAGCAGCTTTATCTCCCGTCACCAGAGCCAGGGGAAGCAGGAGGCATGGAGCAGCCGGAGGCGGGGGCGAGCTGGCCTTTGCATCCCCTGGTCACCCTGCACCTAAAATTTGGGGGATCGGGAGGGGGCTGGTCCCAGCAGACGTGGTGCAAAGAGCAGCGTCGTGCCTGGGAGACGGGGGCTGATGCTTCCCAGCTCACCCAGTGCTTAACGAAAGGCTCCCGTGCCTGCAGCCCTGGGGCCAGCTCTTGTCCCCAGAGTGTGGGGTTGGAGTGGGTTGGGGCCCCCCCCTGCACCCTTTATCCCTCCGTGCTGAGCACCCAGGATCGTGACACCCATGTGTCACCCCAGCATCGGGTGCTGCATCGCCCTCGCTTCTCCGTGGGCAGCTGATCTGCGGCCCCGGGAGCTGCTGCCTGCGCCTGCCACCTCCTGCCTCTCCCCACAGACGGTTTCTCCAGCAGCCACGACGCCATCACCGACGAGGATCTCCTCCGCGTCTCGGAACAGCTTTACAGGGCGGATCACAACAAAGCCCGCCCGAGCGACATCGCCATTAACCCCCAGTACCAGGCGTCCCCCGATGAGACAGGCGACCAGGAGGACCGCTCCCCGCAGCCGTGAGTGTGGGCCGGCATCCTCGGCAGTGGCCAGGGGCCACCACAGCAGAGGCCAGCCAGGGCCCTTTGCTTCCCCGCTGAGTGGAGGATCCGCGCTCTCCTAGGCTCTACAAATACGTCAACGAGGCGCTTTTCTCCAAACCCACCTACGCAAGCTTCATTAAACTGCTGGACAACTACCAGAGGGCAACTGGCAGGGAGGAGGAGGTGACGGCGGAGGAGCTGAGGGAGCAGGACAACTTCCTCAAGGAGGTGATGAAAACCGAGCTCATGAAGAAACTCTTTGCCTTCCTCCACCAAAAAAGTGAGTGTGGAGCGGGGCAGGGCTGACCAGGGGGTCCCTGGGCATTGGGTATCCCAAAGGAAAGCCCCAGCTGGGTGGGACATGACCCGGGAGGAGGCACTGGAGGAGCTGCCAGGACGTGGGAGAATGGAGCAGGGCAAAGCTGAATTGTTCCCAAGGGAGGGGATTGGGCCAGGGGTGGGGGGAGCCCCCGCTCTGCCTCTCCCTGTGCTCCCACACCGGGACACGGCCCCCTCCTCTCCACGCCGCCTTGCCTGCAG